AAGATAAGTATTTATTTCAGAACATAGTAGTGTGTTGTAGCTGTTAAATCTATCGGCAATGGACCGTGACGATGAGACATGCTCTATGCGCTAATTTGTAATGAAATGAACAAAAGTAAATGATATAAAAGTGAAAGATGGAAAGAGATCAAGAGGAAGATTGTTAGATTGATCTCTAATCCTAACTGGACCCAACGACCCAATTGGGCCTTTGATTCGTGCCCTGATCGGGGGTGCCCAGTCCACCATGGCTGGAGGGCCCCTGTCACCCTGCGCTATAAAAAGAGGTGGGGCCGGCGGCTCTTATCACGAGGTTGACCTGAGCCGACCTCCCCACCGAAAAACCCTAAACCCGATCTAAGTGAGGGGCGCAGCCAGTGACGGGAAGCCACCAGCCGCGCCGCCTGCTGCGTCGACGTCGACGTCTTCACTGCCCTCTTTACCGACCGTTGCTGTCCGTGCGCAGTCTTCACCAACGAACCCGATGGCGGCCTCTGAACCCTCCCCATCCGCGGTGTCAGGTTCGTCAGACCTCATCCACCCATCTCTGTCTCTCTATTGCTGCACTAGAATGTATCCTAGGTCTTTGATTCATCAAGCACTCCGGCTAGATCCACTCCTAGACAATCCGAATAGTATAACATGTGACACAAAGGAAATATGAGATTCAATCTCCTCATAGAATTCCTCAAAAACTCTCATGTGAAACAATCCATTCCATAAGATTCCAGAGGATTTATAGAAGCTCAATCCTATGTCCCAAAAGGTTTTATAGATTTTTTCCCCATATGATTCAATCTTCTGAAATTCCTCTCTTTTTTTGTCTTGTTTTAGAGAGGGCCTCTCGGTAGGGTGGGCAGACTAAACAAAGGGACCGGAATGCCTGACTCATGAGCACATCGGCCCCGCTTCGGCTCTTGCCGTAGTGGAAGCTAGCCGTGACGTGCGGGCATATCCGGGCTGTGTATCTCCCTGTCCTTCATGACGAGCGACGGTGAAAATTAGTTCCAGGTCACGTTCAGCCGTATATATTCATCTCAATCTATATACGTTGAAATAGATTAGAGTAGAATTAAACTAAGTTCCATTCCATTCCACCATTTCACTACAACACATGTGGATTGAAGAGAATACACGTGGATCTAAACAAGGCCTAAGAGAATTTTGGAACCACATGGTTAATCCTGGCAAAATATCGTTTGAGCACAGCCGCTGTGGTCCATGTACTGATGATACTTTTTGGAATTGTGCTGTGAAACTGGTCGTGATTTTCCAGAACAAAATGATTCGGTATGTGGAGAAGAACGAAACATATCTAGACAGACAGAGTAATCATCGCCAGATGAAAAGGTTGCGGTTTATCGGCTTTTCAATAGCGATATCTCTTATTCTCTTATAAGCTAGGATCATGCCTGAAAGTTACAACGAAAATAAGATAATGTCACAATAGTTTTAAGTTTGAATGTGTGTTGTACTATTATAAAAAAAATGATTCTTTGAGCCATGTAAATAATTAAGCCATCGAATTCTCTCATCCTACAACAGCTATAAGACAACAGTTAAAGATGCAATGGTTCCTTCTAACAGATATATGAAATCAACTATCAGGCAAGAGGAAAAAACAGCTTTGTAGTTTTCGTGTTACCATGAAAATATTTGTCTGATCATAGCACATGCCTTGTTTGCCTATTAGTGAGAAGAATTTTTCTTTTAATCAATGGGAACGCATGGCTAGAATGAAATAACGTACTCCCTCAGTCCCTCCGTCCCATAATAAATATCATTTTCACTTTCCGAGCGGTCAAAGGACTTTAACTTTGACCAAATATATAGGAAAACTATTAGTACCAGTAGCGTGTCCGTGCTAACGCTACGATAAAATACAAAACAAGATAAAATTTGCAAAAAGTAAAACAAACAATCAGATTCATTAAGATTCACGTCTCATGTATTTTATAACCAAATATTTTTGCCGTATAATGAATGGGCCCAACAATTTTTGGTGTATTATAGAGGGTTATCCATGCATTGCAACATGAACAAAATAATATCCCGTCGAATCAGCATGGGCCCAACAGTAGCCCCAGTCGAGATCAACAAACATGAAGATCAAAACTTCATCCATTGCCAAGCATAAATGGTCGACCTTATTATTAGAGCAAACAACCTTGACCAGTGCAAATTTAGCACTAATCACTAATGCACTACGATATTACTACTTGATGTTACACCTGGAGGCTGCCTACTGATATATACTCTTCTATGCTTGGCAAGGTAGAGAGCAGGATCTGCAGAATGCCGAAGAAGGGGCAAAGTGAACCTTCATCATGGTTTGCTTCCAATGGGGACTGCCTGCATGGTCAAGATTGACTCTTGAAAAAGCACCATTGATTATAGACAATGACATATACGAAACAGAAGCACAAAGTGGAGCCGACAGGTTTCAAGATTACAAATTTAACATATATTAATAATATATATCCTAAAATAGATGACATAAAGATTAAAAGCAGAGCAGCTACATTAATAGAATTTTGTGATTTGATCAATTTCGAATCTGGATTAAGCAATCTCCACATTTCAGGCATAACACACACATAGACCTCAAAACACTCGAGACCTCTGGCAATTAAGTAGCTGTCAAGATCCTCCCAGGCTAGGCCTTGAACGTACAAGCACACATGTATCCTTTATCTGTAGAACAACAGAAAGCAGAATGAAATCAGATAGCTGGTTGACAATTTTTTGCAACCAAACCAGTAAGTCCAAACAAGGTTGGAGAATACATGCAACAACGAAGAACCAAAGCTCCTGAACCGTCCTTTCTATCTATATTACTAAAGGATGAAATATTTGCTCATACATTCATCCATTGTTCTATCGAAAATTTAATAATTCAAACAATTGTTGTTCGACATCCTTGATTATATGCAGACCTACATCCTTGAATCTAAGAGCTTTTGCTTTGCTCTAGGACCCTAGGAATTTCTATTTTATGACATTCACTTCGGGTTACTAATGTGCAAGGGAAATCCATGTCTTCATCAAGGTCAAACACGATAACCAGTACATATAGAATCATAAATGCAATTTCCAAAAAACATAATGGGAAATGAAACGAGTGGAACTTGGAATCTTTAAGAGGTAAACAATACATGTATTTTAACTCTAACCCTGTATGCCGGAGCTATAGACCTTAAATTCTCGGTGATATTTAAGAAAATAGGAGACATCAAGGAGTGGAGAACCAGCTGAAGGCAAAAACTTAGGTCCAAAATTGCAAAATCTAAATTGGCTGTCATGTCACTTGTGTGCATCCTGAATTCTAAATTAAACAAAGTTTAATATGGAGTATGGAAATGCCGATACGAAAGCAAAGGGGCTTTAACTTACTGGATTTTCATGAAAAAACATTTCCACAGGTTTGTATATGTTTTGGATCTTTGGTCACTTCTCGAGCACACACGTTTTATACAAAATAGCATGTAGAGTAGCAGGAAGGTGAAAATACACTTGTCTCAGCCAACTGCAAGGACCAAACAGAAGGAGCATGTAACCATAACAAAATCTTGTGGGAAAAAAGGAAGAAAAGCAAGAGTCCTAGAGCATGTAACCAGAATACTGCCCGTGCTAACGCTATGAGGCCACGTTTAAGTCCAAAGTTAACTTATGAATCTAGTACTGAAGATATAGAGCATTTTCATGGCAAGGCTAAACACCACTTAAAATATGAAGTATATGGCCCAACAAGGTGTTGAGATCAAACATTTAGCAAGAAAAGGGTGGAAATGGATAACCGTTTGTGAATTTGAAGCTTACAGGATCTGCAACACATATAGGCATGAAGCAAACAAGGATTTCCTCAAAACCATAGCAGGGAGAGTTGTCAGGGTGGAAGTTGAACACATTGTAGTCTTCGGCTCTTGCTGGAACATAATTTATATTTGATCATGTGCTTTTATATTTGCCCCGCACATGCACGTTGCATCTGGAGACAAAGACCAGTATTACAAAGCATACTGACCTCCCTAAATGTCTTGCGATTGTCTTTAGATTTCTGGAGTGTGTCAGTCTGCAACATGTTGTTCGAAGCGAAGTGTTATCAGCTGGTCAAGGTTGAGCGACGATAGCAACAGCTTCTAGTGAATGTCAGTCTACACCAAGCTCAGCCCATCCAGCCTCATGAGCTCCACAACATATATAATGACCCAAATTGATCCAGATCTGAGGAACACAAAAGGTACCAGCAACATAGTAGTTCTAGTTGATAAAGCATACCTTCGAAAGGTACCAGTGACAGAAAACATGTTCCAAGCAGGGCCAAATCAATCCAGATCTATGCGGAAGAACAAAGGTAAAAAAAATAAACCAAACGATATAATTTGAAAACAAATTAGGTTGTCAAAAATGGTACCATGGTATATTGATCTCATAAGCATCCTGGTAGATAAAAAAGGAAACTGATTTGCTGTCAACCCAACCCTGAAATTCACCATCTCCCATCTAAGCTTTACTTGTTGCAATCTGAAAAGATTAAAATGGAATATACTAAAACATAATACAATTTACACAAGAGGGAAACTTATTTGCTGGCATACTGACAGTGCCTATTTCTACTGAATTGTTCCAGAAAGCTTTATTTGCATCTAACAAATTTATAATCGATACTCCAACAAGATAGACATGAACACATGACTAAGTCTGAAGCCTTGATTCCATCACACGACTTAACATGAATCAGTACATGTAGGAAAACAAATCCAAAAACAAGAATGGCGTGGATCTAATCCCCACCTAAAAACATCACAAAACCTGGGTATTTGTCCTCCTGGAATGAAGCATTGATTTTTGGATTTGCCAATAACATAGAAAATTGGAACTCGAATAAATTAATGGATGGCGATATCAACTGGATATATAGTGCGGTTTCTCTCTGTCATACCTGCTTTGTGGATTGATGTAGCACTGCTCGAGGAAGAAGCTTCATCGTCACAAATCCAATGCCGAGGCCGCAGTTCATGCATGTCGGGAGGGCACACCATCCTTCGTGGATCCACTGCCAGCATGCCAGAGGGCAACGCCGCCACCGCCAAGGTCACCATGGACGCACGCAGAGGGGGACCGTTCCGCTCCTAACGGATCTTGTGCCTAGCTCCCCGCACGGATCCGCCGTCGGGGACGCCACCGCTGGTGATGAAGGGAGCGCCACCGCCGTTGCCACATATGTCGGGGGAAGGGGGGCCGTGGCCGGTGAGGAACGGGCGCCGCCGCTGTCGGGGGTGATGCCTGCCTTTGGTGGGTGGAAGGGAGCGGAGATGCTGGTTGGGAAGAAGGCAATGTCATCGCCGGTGGTGGTGGGGGCGCGACTCCGCGGCGGTGGGGGAGGCTACTGGTGCCGACGCCAGTGACGCGTAGCCAGGCCCGCGGCGGGAGGGATCGTGGCACCCCGCGGAGGGAAGGATCCCACACGCGAGGCGGAGCCGGAGGCATCGACGGAGGTGACCCAATGTTTCTATTTTCGAGGAAGAGAAGAAAATGGGGGCGCGGGGATGGGAATCAAACCCTCGCCGCCTGAGCGTCACGCCGTGCGGGTGCGGGGCGAAGTGTTGAAGCCCGCGTGCGCTGAAGCTTGAAATCGACCGTGGCCACACCAAAGGTTCCAAGCTTGGCAAGGATGTTTTTTATCCTATTTGAATGAAGATAATTTGCTGGGTGTATTTTTCTGGGTGTAAAAAGGCCAGACTCTCTCAGCGGGGGACGTAATCTTGGGGTACTTAGTATAGTTTTGATTGGTCCATTATAGTTGAGATGAAGATAATTTGCTGGGTGTATTTTTTCTGGGTGTAACAAGGCTAGACTCTCTCAGCAAGGTACGCAATCTTGGGGGTACATAGTATAATTTTAATTGGTCCATTATAGTTGAGATTTATGATGCATAATAAGTATCATTAGATTAACCATTGAATACCTTTTCATAATATCAACTTATTTTGAGATACAAATGTTGCTAATATTTTATATAAATATAGTTAAAATTAAGAAAGTTTGACCCGCACAGAACTCATAGCGACATTTATTTTGGGACGAAGAAAGTAGAAAAAAGTTCCATAGTCATGATTCATGAACTGGCATTATAAGTGGAGAGTGACGGATCTAGAATGAAAGTTCAAGGGGTTGAAGTCGTCATCTTCAATCTCCAGCATCTTCTCCTTAAAGCAGCCATGGTAAAAATTCTTGGAGAGGCTCCATGGGATCAAGAATTGATCTATATTAGTTTCATAGGTTAATACTAAATAATCTGATAGCATATATTAAGTTTTAGCTTTGCAGATTTAGGGTTACCAAGCAATCACATGAATGAGAACTTCCATGCAGCATGACCGAGCTGCCAATACTATCTCCCGTACAGAGTAAATGCATATACATACTGTCGGTGCAGAAAGTGACCAACACGTAAATATTTGTAGTTTTGCCGTACGTTGTGATCAGATGTGTCCTAGCACTCAATGACATAGGGTTTATACTGGTTCAGGCAACGTGGTGTCCCGGTTCCTCCCTTTCAACGACCAGGGCGGCGCTTACCACATGGTTGCTGGCCACGACGTAGAGGAGGAGGGGTTCTCCTCGTTCAGGAGCGACGAGGATTGGAGCCGATGTCAGGGACGCTTTGAGGCTCTCCAGAGCCTATTGAGCTTCCTCAGTCCATACGAAGGCGTCCGTCTTTTTGAAGAGCTTGTAGAGTGGCATCCCTTGTTCGCTGAGCCAAGAGATGAACCGGCTCAGAGCGGCCAGACAGCCGGTGAGCCTTTGCACGCCCTTGACATTGCGTATGAGGCCCATGTTGGAAATGGCCATGATTTTTTCAGGGTTGGCCTCGATTCCGCACTCGGACACAATGTATCCTAACAGCTTTCCCTTTGGAACCCCGAAAACATGTTTCTCGAGATTCAACCTGATGTTGAATCTTCGGAGGTTCGCGAACGTTGTGGCCAAGTTTGCAATCAGGTCGCAAGCTTGAGTCGTTTTGACCACTATGTCATCAACATAGACGACGATCGTTGGTCTTGGCCACTCGGCTTGATCAGGCTGATCGAGCGGGTCGATTTGGTCGGTGAAGCATTGCTGCATGCACCTTTGGTAGGTGGTGCCAGCATTTTTTAGGTCGAAGGGCATGGTTACGTAGCAGTATGAACCATACGGGGTGATGAATGAGGTTGCGAGATGATCGGACTCTTTCATCGCGATCTGGTGATAGCCCAAGTAGGCATCTAGAAAGGAGAGGATCTCACAAACCGAGGTGGAGTCAATTATCTGGTCTATGCGCGGCAAAGGAAAGTGATCCTTTGGACACGCTTTGTTGAGGCTAGTATAATCAACGCACATTCTCCATTTGCCGGTCTTCTTTTTAACGAGAATGGGATTGGCAAGCCAGTCAGAGTGGAATACTTCTCTAAGAAATCCGGCTGCCAGGAGTTTGGTGATTTCTTCGCCTATGGCCCTATGCCTTTCATCGTCGAAACAACGCAAGCATTGCTTAGTGGGCTTTGAGCCCGGGATGAGGCGCAGCACGTGCTCGACGACGTTCCGCGGTATGCCCGGCATGTCGGATGGCTTCCATGCAAAGACATAGCGATTGGCATGCAGGAAATCGACAAGCTCGCATTCCTATTTGGCCAAGACCTGGGTCCCGATCCGCACCATTTTGGTTGGATCGGTGGGGTCGATTCCCACCGCCTTGGTTTCCTCGAGCGGGCGGAAGGCCATCGAGGAGTTTGGTTCGTTGCAGTCTAGGACTGCTGGGGTCGATGACTCCCTGGGCCGTAGAAGCTCAGACGAGTTGATGACCTGCGGTGGCGAGCTCGAAATGCTCGTGGTCGCACGTGAAGGCGTGCGAAAAGGCCCTGCTCATAGTGATGACGCCGTTCGGTCCCGACATCTTTATCTTGAGGTAGGTGTAGTTGGGGATTGCCATGAATTTGGCATAGCATGGCCGCCCCAAGATGGCGTGGTAGGACCCTAGAAAGTCCACCACTTAGAAGGTGAGGACCTCCGAGTGGAAGTTGGCTTGGTTGCCAAATGTGACGGGTAGGTCGATCTGCCCGAGCGGGTGTGCCTGCGCTCCCGGGATCACCCCATGGAAGGGAGAGCCCGCCAGGCATAATTCTGACCGGGGGATGCGCATGGCGTCGAGGGTGTCGACGTAGAGGATGTTGAGGCCGCTGCCTCCGTCCATCAGCACCTTGGTGAGGTGCTTCTTGCGGACGATGGGGTCGACGATGAGCAGATAACGTCCTGGTCTCGTGACGTGGGAGGGATAGTCTCTCTGATCGAAGGTGATCGAAGATTCTGATCAGCTGAGGAAGGAGGGGACGGCCGTCTCAGTGGCGCATGCCTCCCTATAGTGCACCTTGTGCTGGCGCTTGGACCAAATGGCGTCGGATCCGCCGAAGATTATGATGCATTCCTCAGGGTCAGGGAAGCCATCACTGTCCTTGCCCGCCGCGCCTCCTTTCTTGGATGTCGCCTCTTTGCCATCTCCTTCTTTCGTCCCGCTGGCCTGTCGTAAGAATCGTTTGAGGAGCTCACAGTCCTTGTAGAGGTGTTTGACGGGGTAGGCGTGGTTGGTGCATGGGTTGTCCATGAGCTTGTTGAAGTGGTCAGGCAGTCCCTATTGGGGCTGCTTGTCCGTGCGATCAGCCACAGCGACCAAGCGGTGTTGTCCGATCGGCGTCGATCCTTTTTGTTCTTCTTGCCCCTCTATGTGGAGGGGCCCTTGTCTCGGTCCATGCGCTTGGCCTTGCCTTTGTCCTGGCCTCCATCGAAGACCGCTTCGACTGCCTCCACGCCGGAGGCGTGGTTAGTGGTGACATCGAGCAGGTCGCGGGTGGTACGGGGCTTCAGGTAGCCAAGCTTGTGGATTAGGGACTCGCAGGTCATCCTGGAGAGGAATGCGCTGATGATGTCCGCGTCGATGACATCATGAAGGGAGTTGCATCGTTGGGAGAACCTGCGGATGTAATCCTGTAGGGACTCGCTGGGCTCTTGCTGGTAGCTCTTGAGGTCCCAGGAGTTTCCAGGGCGGACATACGTCCCCTGGAAATTTCCGACGAAGACCCTCTTGAGGTTCGCCCAGTTGCAGATGCTGTCGTGCGGGAGAAATTCCAGCCATGCTCGAACATGTTCCCCCACATAGATGGGGAGATACTGAATGATGAAAAAGTCATCATCCACCCCTCCGGCTCGGCAGGCGAGCCAGAAATCTTTAAGCCAAATACCGGGGTTTGTCTCCCCGGTGTACTTGGTGATGTTGGTGGGCAGTCGAAAGCGCTGTGGGAACGGCGCTCTCCGGATGGCCCATGGTCCCAGGCCCTTAGGGCTGGGACTCTGGTTGTCTGGCCAGCGACCATGCCTGGGGCGCGTTTCACCGCTCCCCTTGATGGTTTGGCTGGGACCCGCGTCGCCTGCCCTCATCGCCGCCCGGTGGACGTTATTATCATGCCAGGCCTGATGCTGGTTGCTGATGATGCTACTAGCGTCTTGGTACGGACCGGGCCATCCACGTACCAGCGGTCGGTGTAGAGCAGGCGCCAGGTTGGATCGCGGTGCGGCCGCTGCCTCCTGAGCCACACTTGGCGGCTGTAGCGACGAGTAGATGGAATGATCCGTCTAGCGTGTCCCCACTCCCCCGGTGGGGAGAGAGGGCGTGTGTTGGAGTCACGATGCGGAGCTTTCCACCTGTTGAACGGCGTCGGCTTCTACCAGCACCCGGAGGTTCCGGTAGACCATCCACTCCTAGGGGTCGACGGGCTCAGGAACGCCGTGCAGAAGCATTGCCTCAGCAGCGATGTTCTAGCTCGCCCAAGCGAACTGTGGGGGATCGTTCCCCTTGTTCATGATGTCATGTTGTACCTGGCGGGCATGACCCTGGGCGCCGCCCGCTGGGTCATGAGCATGGGGCACAACATGCTGCACTGAGCGCGTCGACGCAGGTGGCGGCTGGTTCTGCCGCCATTGTCGTAGTTCCTCGGCGTGCTCTTGCGCAAACACGAGAGCCCCCGCACGTAGGTCCAGAGGGGTGTGAGTCTGCATAGACTCCGCAACCACCGGTGGCTGTCCCAAAGCGTCCGCCGTAGCGCGCTCCTAGGACGGACGGTGGCTAGGTGCCACGTCGCCGATGCTGGAGCCATCGCTCTCACCCTCGTCATCTGGGAGTTCGTGGAAGGTGGTAGGAGCATAGCTCACCATCCCCATGAATTCGGATGTGAGAGTGGATGACGCCAGTATCCTTCGGAGCCCCCGAGCGCACGCGTCCGCGGGGGATGCAAGGCCGTAGGGAAATCGTTCATTCGGTGTTCGCGGTGCGGTCAATACGGTCCTGGAGCCCTCGAGCGCACGTGTCCGCGGGAGA